ATTATTTCACCATGTTTATTTAGGAATAAAACTTGGTGTGACATTAGGCAAATTATATATAAACAAACCCCTTTGTAAAACCCATTAGCATATACAGATAAGAACTAAGCTGTAAAGTTTGGTGTGTGTAACATTTCTGGCTCAGTGCATGAGGGAAAAATCATTTTGAGAAAAAGGCCTTTAAAGATATGTATTTTAACAGAAATCTACAGACAGAAATAAAGTATATTAAAATAAACATCTAGACATGTCTTTTGGATGTTTCTTTTCTCTAGCCTGAAACAGCATGTTATGAAAAGCCCAAAATATCAAAAAGGATCAGTGCATGAAAAAAACAATGTGTTTGCCTGTAATGTCTTGCCTTCAGCACCCAATGAATATGCAGAAGGCAAAAGGTATTGTGTGGCTTCAGAATTTACAATAAGAGTCATATGGATTTCTTTTAAGACACTCTTAGTGCTTTTCTCTCCTTTTCTATCTTGTTCTATCTTGGCAGGCCTAGTTACAATGCCTTTGTTGTTATTATGGGTTAGAAATGTCAAAAGTATGACTTAATTGACTTAATGAGTGTAACTACACCATTCAGTGTCTTTCTCCCTTTACAGCCATTAAAAATTTATATTAAAAAAATATATGTAATATGGTTGCCACATCAATCGACTGGCAAAACATAATTGTATATAGTAAGTCACAATTAAATTCAATCCATCATCCAGCACAACACTTGCTTTTGCCACTAGAGGGCATACTAGAATCAGTTTCCCCCCCTAATCAAACTGCAGTACTTCTTTTATTCTCAGTGTCCTTTTTTAACAGCTTCTGTAGAAGTTCCTGTATATTTGACTTCACATACTATACTATTGTCTCTACTATTGTCACATACTATACTATTGTCTTTGGCATTGTGGGCCATACTCTGTGTCACAAGTGATTAGTGAACTTACTTCATTAGATACATGTATGCATATTTACATGTTGTCATTAGCAAATAACCTATACAAAATTTACGATGTTTATATATTTTTACACAGAGATGTGAAATGAAAATATTGTCACCATTTACTCATCTTCATGTCATCTGTATTGAATGAATGCCTTTTTTCCATTCAACATTTATTGAAAATTAATTGTGAGGCAAATGTGACTTTTTGTGTTCTACAGCATAGATGAAAAAAGTGCTTTGGCACAATATGAGGATGAGTAAATAATTTAAATTTTTGTGTGAATTA